AATTATATACAGGAAAAAATTAAAGACTGCCAGTCATGCAAATAGGGATATGTTGGTACTTTAAAATTTATTCCAACATGCTATTTTTTTAAAAATATGCTCAGACTGAGCAGACAGTCTGAGTTGTAGTAAAGGCAATATTATACTTGTAAAAACTTCTCATTCACAGTACAGATGTCATTTACAATAAGGGTCACAAACATCAAATACTGAGTATTTTTTCATTTTTTTTTCTTCTTGTTTTTTTACATCAGACTCTGTGCTTTTTACCTGCATTTTTTGCACTGATATAACCATACAGACATTGCAAGATGCAAGTGTAGAAACTGGAGTTAAAATAAAATTACAGGCAAAACTAACAAATTACATTGTACTCTGTACATATTTACAGTACCTTTTTTTTGGAATGTATTGCCATTTTAAGAACATATAGAAACTTTCTACAGACTATTCCACTTACAGAATACATACACCTTTTAGAAAAAAAGGCAAATATTTATCTTACATGAGACCATGTATATTAAATTTGTGTACACATTATTATTATTATTTTTACATTACATTTACTAAAGTGATCTTAAGTGCCATCATATTTCAGTAATGAAAGATTGGTTTTATGCCATCAGGACTGATTTTTTTTGTGTAAATAATTTACAATATTTTTATGTGTAAATACTGTGCAATAGATGGAGATTTTAAAAAGAGGGAAAACACTTGATGAAACTAAGTCATAAAATGAAAAAAATATTGCAAGAAGACAGTAAAAGGGCTAGATCAAATTGTACAAAATTTGTGTAGAAATAGAATTCAGTAATACCATGTGACCAAGTACATTGCTTGTTCAGATGCTATTTTTGAGGATTTATAACAAAATATTGTAAGTGACAAAGTATTCTAATTGCATCTACTTTTTGAAGATTTTCAAGTAAAATAAAATGAACTATAATGTGGTCATATGATCAAATCCCACTGCCTAGAGTTAGAGTCCTTTGAGGCTGATTTTCAAAGGTCCAAATGTCAGTTAGCCACTTCATTCCTGTTTATTTTCTATGGGAGTTAGGTGCTTAAAAGCTACTTGCGTATTTAATGACCTCCCTATAAAGCTGTATTTAGTCAGCAAAACTGGTATGATTTTTAGTGGCATTGAACACCTTCAACTCCTGCTGACTTTAACAGGAACTGGAAGATCTCAGTACCTTTAAATAACAGACTGTTCTTATCTAAATGCTTATCTATGGATTTAAAAGCATAGCAGAAAAGACACAGCTACTTCATCACTGTTTGAATTTCCCAATGTATTTCTTGAGTATCTGGCCAACATCCTGTAAATAATTAGAGCTGATAGCTATCTACTGCAGGGCAGTATAATATATTTGGGAGCCAGAGGGCCCTTTGCCTCCATGCTGAAATGTGATGAACACTGCTCTAGCAAAGCTGGCATGTGTTTAGCCCATTTAAGTTAGAGTGACTGCTCACATACTTAAAGTTAAGCTGATGCTTAAGTGCTGTACTAGATCAAGGCATAATGCTTTCCACTTTACAGTTATCCCTTAGAAGGCAAGGAGAGTCAAACTAGTTTATAATGTGGACCACACCTTCCTTGAGAGATTGTCTCATGGGCACCTTCATACCACATTGAGTAGCATTCATGGGCAGGTACAGCAATGGCTCACATGAAGCAAGAAACTCGGGGGAATATTCCGTCTGATTTATTAGCGAAATAAAAAGGAGAGCCCACTGGATGTCAGTAGGCCACTTTCCAATATTATAAATATTGCAGGAAGCTCTGAGACTTTCTTTTTTTAAAAAAAAGGTAAATTTGTTATTTTATTTTTTGACCTGGTAATGAAAAGGAAAAGTTGAATTTTGTGTTTTTAATGCACTGATTTGCATTATTAATACACTCCATTGAACATAATAGACTGAACTGCATTTGCAAAGTGCTTGTACAGATATTAACTAATTAATTCCTCAAAGTGTATGGAAGGTAAATCAAGAGCCATCATCTTACATTACAAATAGGAGGGCAGACCTAGTGGCAATATTCAGAACATGATCTTGCAAAGACTTCCTACTGAGTAAAGCAGTGATCGCTTAAGTTGGAAGTGCAGTACTCAATAATATTTACAGGACAGGACCTTAATCTCTGATGTAGAAAGGAGCACCTCCATTTAAATCCCTGGAGCTGATGTTCACATGGGCATAATATGACCCAGAAAAGATAAGTGATTTGCTCAGGGGCACATTGTGGTTCAGAGCAGAGCTGGCATTAGACCTTGGGGATTCCAACTAGCCAAACCAGTGCTGAAACCCAGAAGTCATGATGTCTTTCTGGGGATTCCCCTGTCCTTACTGGTCCAGAAGCTAATTAACTAACAATTATTTTGTTCTTAAATATTGCTAGAGTTCTTTTTCTGGTCCTGTTTGGCTAATTTTGCAGGCCAAAGGCACCTGCTGCATCTGGTAGAGGGAGCATGAAGCAGAGCTCCACCCCAGTTACACCTGTTGAGTGGCTGCTCTGTAAACTCATCACAATGGAAATTCAGGCCACTCTTAAGTGCTCTCAGTTTCTGCCTCTGCTTCTCTCTCTCTCTCTCTCTCTCTCTCTCTCTCTCTCTCTCTC